TGGTCTGGAAAGGTGTAAGGCCGTGAGGGCGAACCTATCGCACACCTGCCACGGGTGGCACAAAGAACCATTTGGGCCAGCACACGAACCCCAGGCAAACTTACCTCACTGCGTACTCGCGCACCTCCCCGCTAATTTTGGGGCCTCTTTCGGCTTCCCAGAGGCTCGAGGGAAGCCTCTGCGGCCTTTGCAGGCCGAAAAATGGGCTGTTTTGTCATTAACGGGCCCATTTTTCAGCCTACAAAGGCCGCAGAGGCTTTCCTCGAGCCTTCGGGAAGCCGAAACAGGCCCGAAAATCAGCGGGGAGGCGCAGTGCAAGTAAGGGGGTGGTGTGTGGGGGATTGCACACCATTTTTGTCCCAGGAGCCCCAAAAGGTTAGCCACCACTGGTGTAAAGTCTCCTGCACGAGCAGCGGGGTTGGACTAGAACCCAGGAGTCCCCCCAACCTTGGCAACTTGAAGACTGGTGGACTTCCAACTCCCAGAATTCCCCATTCAACTACACCTGTTGTTGTTTTTTCCCTCCCTACTCCCTCGAGTGGAGAGATTGCAGAGGAAAGGATGACAAGAGAGTAAGCAGGCATAGAATTGAAGTCCTAACCGAGCTGCCCCGAGGGATTCTGGGAGTTGAAGTCCACCAGTCTTCAAGTTGCCAAGGTTGGACTAGAAGCCCTCCGTGGCCCCTTTCCAATTCTGTCCTTCCCTGGTGGAATTCCTCTCTCTCTCTCTCTCTCTCTGCTTCCCCACGTTTGGGCTTGCGGGACCCAAGCGAAGTGGCTTCTCACGTTACAAGGGGAGCTTGCAGCAGGGCTGAGGTCCAGTTCCCGGTGGGCCCGGTCTTCTGGATGAAAGGGGGGAAGCGTGGATGACCCCGGGAAAACGGGCCAAGCGTCAGAGGGCGCCTCCTCCTCCTCCTCCTCCTCCTCCTCCTCCTCCTCCCGCCTTCTCCCCGGAGTTAGGATCCCCGGTGGTCTTTTCCAGGAGTTGCCGCGTGGCCCCTCTGATCCAGTGTGACTACTGCCCGCTCCTCTTTCACATGGACTGCCTGGAGCCCCCCCTCACGGCCATGCCGCTGGGCCGGTGGATGTGCCCCAATCACATCGAGCACGTGGTGGTAAGCCGGGGTCCCGCCTCGGGATCGGGGGGGGCCGTCGCGGGCGGGGGTGGGCGGGGGGAGAGGAATGGCCGGCCGGTTTCCCTTAGGCCGCTCCCTCCTCTTAACAGCTGAACCAGAAGAACATGACGCTGAGCAACCGGTGCCAGGTCTTCGACCGCTTCCAGGACACCATCTCGCAGCACGCGGTGAAGGTGGATTTCTTGAACCGGATCCACAAGAAGCACCCGCCCAACCGCCGAGTGGTCCAGTCGGGGAAGCGGAAGGGCCTGAAGGTAAGTAGAGGATCCCGTGTCGGGCTTGTCTCAACTTGGACCTTTAGGGGGGAAGAAAGACCCTGGACTCCCATTTCCAGCGAAAGGTCTACTTTGACTAAAACTAATTGGCTACAGCGTAGGAAAACCAGATCTGAAGTTTTCCACGTAAACCCAGGTTAAGAAGAGACTGGACAACCATCTTCAATTTGTCTTGGGGTGGGGTGGACTAGAAGACCTTGAAGGTCCCTTCCAACTCTTTTTAATCTGTTACTTCCCCCCTTGTTTCAAGCCCCCTTCCCCGGCCCTCCTTGTAGTGTCCAGTGAAGTTCCAATGAGTTGTTTCAGTAACAATAAAGGAGAATATTTTTGCAGCTCAAGGCTTGACATGATGGGTCCATGTTGCTCTCGGAGCTGGCTGGTTCCCTTTCGTGACATTTCATGACCCAAACTAGGTCACATCATCAGTGCTAGTGCTGGGTTGGGATACCCCGATCAAGAAGGAGCCCAAGAGGCCCATTCAGCAAACAGCAGAATCTCTTTTTAAGACCAGCAACACTGACTGGACAAGGTCTGCCAGAATATAAACTGGCAGCAAACCTCCCTCCTTATTAGCACTGATGATGCTACCTAGTTGGGTTATGAAACGTCTGCAATAAATCCCCCAAGGTCAGAGAGCACCAAAAACCCCACAGTTCTCCTCCTCCTCTTCCTCCTCCTCCTCCTCCTCCCCGCCTTCTCATCCCCTCTGCAAATCCCCCTTCCTTCTAGCACTGATGATGCTACCTAGTTGGGTTATGAAACGTCTGCAATAAATCTCCCAAGGTCAGAGAGCACCAAAAACCCCACAGTTCTCCTCTTCCTCCTCCTCTTCCTCCTCCTCTTCCTCTCTTCCCCTCTGCAAATCCCCCTTCCTTCTAGCACTGATGATGCTACCTAGTTGGGTTATGAAACATCTGCAATAAATCTCCCAAGGTCAGAGAGCACCAGGGACCCCACAGTCGTCCTCCTCCTCCTCCTCCAACCCCACTCCTTACTAGCACTGAGGATGGGTCATGAACCGTCTTCAAGAAAACAAGCCAGCTCAGTGAGCACCTTCATGTTTTGGTAATCGTTCTGAGGTCTGGCACCTCTTGGATATATCCAGGGGGGGCTTGAGTTTCTGTTTTCTATCACCCACCCCCCTCTCCCTCCCTACTGCTCCCCTCTGGGCCCCCCCAGTTTTTTATGGCAGGCTGCCATCAAGGCCGAAGCGATGACGAGGTGGCCCCCGGGCCTTGACCGTCCCCAGCCGTCCTTGCGGGGCTCCCTTGCAATGCCCGGCTTCTGCCAAGAGGTGGCAGCCTTGCCACTCGGGAAAGGCGCCCCTCCGGGAGCCGTGCCATCTTCCCTCCTCTCCGCTTCTCTTTTGCCCGTAGGTCCCGGAGGCCATCAAGTCCCAGTATCGGATCCCACCAGCATTAATGGCGCCCGCGGCCATCCGGGACGGGGAGCTGATTTGCAACGGCTTCTCCGAGGAGTCTCTGCAGAAGCCCCCCGGCAGCCCTTCCCAGCACTTAGCCGCCCAGTCGGAACAGCAAGAGGTAAACGTGGGGTTGTGTTTTTTTGGGTGTGTGTGTGTGCAGATTGGGCAGGAGGGAGGGGGTCACCCTCCTACCAGGCTGTGTCAGACGCCCCCTTTCTCCGGGTCTCAGAGTTGAGGCAACAGGGCAAGCTGGGCCCTTCCAGCACCCTCGCAAAATCCGGGCCAGTTAGCCCCTCTCCTTGCCTCGGTGATTGTGTGCAGGGGGAGAGGCTGCTAGAAGGGCAGAAAGGAATCCCGGAGTGGATTTGGAATGTAGGGACCGTGTTTCCCGGAAAATAAGACCCTCTCTTGTTATGACTCCCCTTCGAAATTCCAACAAACAAAACAGAAAGCAGCCGTTTCACAATTAAATCAAATGGAAAGAAGTCTTACAAGATAACGGCTGGCAGAAACCACAGCATAAATCTTTACTCTGTCCAGCAAACCAGTCCTGGCAATAAATCTCCAGTCTCAGAGCTTCTTGCTGTAACGTCCTCACTCAAGTAAGTCACTTTGTTCCTGGCAAATTGCACCAGCCCAGCTGTGTCCTTTTATACTCATTGAGGCAACCTGCTAATTTACTGACTCGCTCTCCTCATTCGCTCCAGCTGATTTTGCCTTCTCAACCAGTCTTCTATTTTTTACATTTAACCACAAATTTTCCAAGTTCTCCTCTCCACTAGAAGACTCTCTCAAAACTTCCCTGTCAGCCATTCCCGGCTGTTGATCAGATAAGGAACCAGAGGAGGTCAAAGGTCCTGACAATTCTAATACATCAGGTCTGTCGTCCTTTGTCACGTCCATCTCCTCATCCTGGTTACCAGTCCAATCACTGAGCCAGGCCGGCTCATATTGTTCTGACATGACCTCTTCACTTGAACTCATATCAATCACAGGAGCTGAATCCAAGCCCGGAGCCACAACACTCTCTTATCATTATTATTTTTTTGCCACCCCAAGAAAAAGGCACCAGGTCTTATTTTCGGGGGGATACTATCCACGGACTAACCTCACTTGCATGCGTGCGTCGCCCCCGGCCTCCTTTTCGCTGTCAGAGGCCTTCAGGAACTTCTACTGTGGCCAGGAAAACTTGTCTGAAGGCCTCTGCAACCGATAAGAGAGCTCAGGATCGATCCAGAGCATTGTTATCAGCTCCAGAGGCCTCCAGGTAAGCCTTGCCGGCTGCAGAAGAAATGGGCCGGCAAGGCAGGTGTTGGGGTGTGCGAGGCCTGACTCCACCTGTCCACAGGTAAGTAGTAGGGCAGCTCCACCCACCCCCTATACCCACCCTAGCTTAATTTTTAACCTGTCCACCCTGGAGTGGGCAGGTCTTAACTAGGGCTTATTTTGGGGGTGTGGGGGGTAGGGCTTATAATTGGACATGTGTAAAAATCAAGCTAGGACTTACTTTCAGGGTAGGTCGTGTTTTCAGGAAACCAGGGTAGTTCCTCAACATACGACCGCAATCGAGCCCAGTGTTTCCACTGCGAAGCAAGACAGCGGTTTAAGTTTTACGACGTTTCTTGACACGGAGGTTAAGCAAATCAGCTGAAGTGAATTAGGGACATGGTCGCTAAGCGGCTTCCCCATTGACTTTTGTTTGGTCGCGTAACCCCGGGGCCCTGCCACCGTCCTAAGTGCAAGCCAGTGGCCCAAGTTCCCGGGGTTTGATCGTTGTGACCAATTTTGCGACTCGATTTTGATCGTTGCGACCAATTTTTTGGACTGGGTGACTCACGGACGGTGTTCGTACTGCAGCAACGGCCGTAAGTGTCGTAAGTCACTCTCTTCGCTGCTGTTTTAACTTCGGACGGTCACTGAGTGAATGTTTGTAAGTCAGTTCAAATAAGAAATGAAAGGACTTTAAAGCAGAACTCCAAAGGCCGGTGAGTGAAAATCGCGCTTGGCTCAGGGCAAAAACTTTCCGGAGGAGGAAATGCCGCGTTCAGATGCCCGGTTTGTGGCAGCTTCGGCCACAGGAGAGGAGTCTCTGGCGGTGGTCAGAGAGAAACGCCTTCCAATTTCATGCCCGGTTTGGCGGATGCCAGCAGGGCTCCTCATGTAGTGACGCCTGTTTTGGGAAGAGGGTGGGATCCCAGACGACGACGCTGGTTCCGAAGTGCCGAAACGGGCCTGTTTTTCGGCCTCCAAAGGCTGCAGAGGCTTCCCTTGAGCCTCTGGGAAGCCGAAAAAGGCCTCCTAACGGGCCAGAACTCAGCCGGGAGGCCCTCGCATGCACAGCGCAGTTAAGGGAGGCGGGAGGGGTGTTGCGCACGCATGCGCAGGGGTTGGATGGGTCTCATTGCCTTGTGGGTGCCGACACGCCATCACTGGTTTAGACAGTCCTTGACTTGCAGCGATTCATTTAGTGACCGTTCTAAGTTACAACACCACTGTGTTTATTCCCCCGCTCCACACTTAATGACCGTTCCTGCATCCCTGCGGGTCACCTGATCAAAACTCGAGCGCTTGACAACCGGCTCGTATTTCTGACGGTTGCAGAGTCCCAAGGTCACGTGATCACGTCCCCGGGGGGGGGCGTCACATGATCCCCTCCCCCCTTTTGTGACCTGACAAGCAAAGTCAATGAGGAATCCAGGTTCACTGAACAAACCCGTCACTAACTTTGCAGCAGCAAGGATTCACTTAACAACGGCGGTGGGAATGGCTGCAAAACAGGGCAAAATCCACTTCACCGCCTGGCTTAGTGACCGAAGTGCTTTGGACTTGGACTTTCTCATTCTAGATTAAATAAGAAAGCCTTCTTTAATCCTCTGGATTATGGATTTCCTGTCAGATTAATCACACCTCTTCAGCCCTTATTCTTAACACTTGGTACAACCACAGGGTTGCGTGTTGAGTCCCTTACTCTGTACTCAGAGTATGACTGCCTTCCCACTCACGCTAGTAATACTATTGCTAAATTTGCAGATGATACAACAGGGGTGGGACTCATCTCCGGGGTTGGGTGGGTGAGGTGAGTCTGCCTACTGAGATGAGGTGGACCAACGGTTGCTTTCGTGGTGTGGAGACCATAACTTGGTCCTCAACACCAATAAGACCAAGGAGCTTATAGTGGACTATAGAAGGGACAGATCAGACCTCCAGTCCTTGCTTATCCATGGAGACCGAGGGGAGCAAGTGGCCAGGTTTAAGTTTCTGGGGGTTACCCTAAGAGGGGACCTGACCTGGGGGGCTCACATTGCAGCCCTGGGTCAAAAGGGCCCAGCAGAGATTAGGCTACCTGAGGCTTCTCAGGAAACAACAACCGGATGGAAAACTGCTGGGGATCTTCTACCGCTGTACCAGAGAGAGTACCTTAGCTTCCTGCACACCTGTGTAGGGTTTGCCAATTGCACCGGGGCAGATAGGATGTCACTCCAGAGGGTGAATGTTGTTGCCCAGAGGATCCTGGGTTGCCCTCTCCCCTCTTTGGAAGAGCTTTATATCTTTCGCTGCCTTAAGAAAGTTCAAAACATCCTCAAAGATCCATCTCATCCTGGGAACCCCTTTTTGTGAACTATTACCATCTGGCAGACGGTACAGGACAATAATAAAAACAAGGACAAATAGGCTGAAAAACAGCTTCTATCCCAGGGCAGTAACTCTGTTGAATTCCGCTGTATGGTGCAATATGAATGCAGTATCAGGGGTTTTCCATTTAATGTATAGAATGCAAAGGATGTGTGTTTTTGTGTTTTATTTTCATGGTCATAACGTGCGGGGAAGACGGTATTTGATTTTGTTGTACGAGGTGCAAGGACAATGAAGTAAACTCAACTAGAAATGTTGGGCTCAACCGTAGGCGTAAATCGAGGACTACCTTTAGACTGACCCCGTGGCACTTTACAGCTCTCTCTGGGCAGCCTGCAAGCCCCGTCGGCGCTACAAATGGCCAGACCTGAAGGAGGGCAGCAAACCCGGTCCCGAACCAAGGCCGGGGCAGAGCTGACCCTCGACCCTCCTTCCTGACCTCTGACCTGTGCCCGTCCTTTCTCTTTCAGTGGCTGTGCAGCATTGTGGCCCTGCAGTGCAGCATCCTCAAACACTTATCGGCCAAGCAGGCCCCTTTTTCCTGGGACTCGGAGCAGGTGGAGAAAGGAGACGTCAAGCCAGTGTTGGCAGCCGATGGCTCCCTCGCCAGTCTGTACCAAGCGACGGACAAGCCCAGTGCCCCCCTTCCCAGTTGCACCGCGGGGCTCGCCCCTCAGAACTCCTTACAGGACGAGAGCCCGTACCCTTCCTCGGCGGACCGGCCCAAGAAACCCTCCCCCTGCGGGACGTCGAACGGCCTCGGCGCCACCGCCGAGGTGAAGATCAACGGCCCCAGCTTCTATGGCGAAGCCTCCACGCCCGCCTCGCCCAGGCTGAGTGGGCAGGGCGGGTCCTTGTCGCACCGGCAGCAGCCCTGGCCGAGACCCACCACTCCTCCGGCAGCTTGCGGGCTCCTCAACCACGTGGCTGGCACCGTCGTGAAAACGGAGAACGCTGCGGGACCCGTCTCGTGCCCCCACAAGGTCGCCGTGCCCGTCGCCACCCTCCTGGCCTCCCTCCCCAGTTCTTGCTTCAGCCTGGAAGCCGCCACAGCGTGGCCACAGAAGAACACTCAGGCGCCGATCGGGCCTCTGCTAGCTACAGATCTGGGCGCAGCGGACTCTCCCGTCTCTGCCACATGGGCACTCACTCCTCACCCAGCGGCTGTCGGGGAGGGGGGCTCTGCCGTGGCCCCTGCCCATGGTTTTTGTTCATCAGCCCCACCTCCAGGTGAGCACAGGGGAGGGTGGGGAACTCTGGGCTTTTGCCCAAAGGTGGGATTCAAATTTCTTAACAACCGGTTCTGTGGACGTGGCCTAATTGGTGGGTGTGGCTTGGTGGTCATGTGACTGGATGGGCGTGGCTTGTGTGTAAATATTGTAAACATTGATGTAAATATTGAATTTTTTATGTAAAAAAAAGAGCAACCTTTACCCAAAATCAGGCAAAGCAGGCAGGCAGATGGAGTTGCTTGCAGAATCACAGATTCATTCAGAGGTCTACCTTTCTGCCATCTGCTGCCTGAGTCTGTCACATAAAATTTGCTTGCAAGCAAACTCACAAAATTAACTCACAACACACCATGTAAGTAAATATTGATTTTTTTATTTTAAAAAAGAGCAACTTTTATCCAAAATCAGGCAAAGCAGGCAGGCAGATGGAGTTGCTCACAGAATCACAGATTCACTCAGAGATCTACCTTTCTGCCATCTGCTGCCTGAGCCTGCACTGAAAAATAGAAGCTTCGGTCCTAAGGAAGGTTCAGCTCTGCGCTCAGGCCACTTCTCTCCCCCCCCCACTTGAATACCACCGCTACTGGGGCTCGGGGAAGCCTCCTGGGGTGAAGGCAAAGCGGTACAAGAGCGATTTAGATTAGCTAGAAAACAAGAAATCCGACAGGTGGGGAGAGGAGGGGCCAACCAGTGGCACGATGTGCCGGTTCTCCAAACTGCGCAGAATCGTAACAACTGTTTTTACATAACCTGTCCAGCCAGGTAGAATCCATCCCCTACTTTTGCCCACCCTCACCCCTTTGTCAGAAATCCTGAATAAAAGCCTCTGTTTCCAAAAGCACAATTTTTTAAAAAAAACTCTTTTAAGAGACTTAGGCAGCCGTTGGTCTGGAATGTTGTAGGGTGGGGGACCTCGAAGGTCTTCTAGTCCAACCCCTTCCTCAAGCAGGAGACCCTACATCAGGGGTGTCCAAGATTGGAACTTTTAAGACCGGTGGACTTCAACTCTCATGCTGTCTGGGGAATTCTGGAAGTTGAAGTCCACCGGTCTTAAAAGTTCCAATCTTGAACACCCCTGATGTAGGGTCTCCTGCTTGAGGAAGGGGTTGGACTAGAAGACCTCCAAGGTCCCTTCCAACTCTCTGGTTCTGCTATCTCTTTCCAATGCAACCAGTGGAGTCAGATTTGCTGCGGACCGCTGGGTGATTCGCCTGTTGATGGTGACCTCCACGGTTTCAGCCACACCAGTGTGGCACAAAGTGGACACTTTGTGGGCAAAGTGCCTGAGGGGGGGATGCGTGTTGTGGTTCGCTGGCAGTAGTCAGACAGTGGGGAAGAACGGGGACCAGTCTGGGAGTCTGGGGAGGACTCGGACGAGGGCCCTGCATCCGAGGCAGAGATGGGGCCAGCACCATCTGGGAGTGGGGGGCTGCCTTCTGAGCCTCCGGAGTCTGGCAGCAGCAAGGCAGAGGAGCAGAGGGAGCCTGTTCCAAGTGCGCGTCTGTGCAGAGCTGCTAGAAGGCGGGAGCAGCTGAGACAAGGGACGACTCGGAAGTAAGGCTGGGAGGTGACTGCCCCTCCCATAAGGCATAAAAAAGTCAGGCCAAGATGCAAAAACTTTTGCAGGAAGCAAAGTCGTTCCGTCGGTTCCAAGTCATCGTTGAAACTCTTTATACTTCGGTTGGTTTTTCTTGTACTTTGGTTGGTTCCTTTTCCAGTTAATTGGATACTTCTGTCTTTGGCAGCGTTCCACAGAACTGAAAGGTGGGTGCTTATCTCGGGGG